TTCAATCAATTTAATAAGCTAAAGGAACAACTTTAATAATTATTTAATGACTTTTAAACTATTTTAGTAACAAATCAAATCATTTACAAGGTGGTTTTTCTTATAGAAATTTTTAGCATATAGTTATATATATCTTTTAACTTAACATGAACTTAACCAACATAGAATCTGTCTTAATAAATTTATTTTTTTTTTTGTTACTCTTAAGAATCTGTCTTTATATATACCTTTTAATTTGACAGGAGCTTTAGAATCATTCTTTTCATTTGACATAAACTTAAACAAGATAAAATAAGCTTTAGCATCTGTCTTTATATATATCTTATAATGTGACATAAAGTTAACTAACATAGAATCTGTGCTAATATATATATTTTAATTATATATAAACTTAATAAACATCGAATCTATCTTACAAAGAATATAATATAGAGTATAGAATCTAACATAGAATACATCTTAATACATACATATATCTTTTAAGACTGAGTCAATGTTGGAAATTATTCAAATTTCCATCGACATATTTTATTACATAAATAAAACAAATCAGAACTAACATTCCAAATCAATTTAGAGAACAAATTTGCAGCAAATCAAAATTTTCCCTGTCGTATTTAAGACTAATTTACAAAGAAAATTCACAGTTGATTTAACAATAATTTTGTTATTTTTCAATTATTATTATTAAAATTTTTGCATTTGTTAAAACGAACTATTCGTATCACATATTTGTAGCTAATTTATTGCCAAATATAAATTATTGTTTTGATTATTTTAGTTGCGATTATCAAAAAATATTTGTGCAGCTGCCAACACATTTTTTTTTTGGCCAAGTCATGACGACGTCACGTTCGTTATCCGGTTATCAGGTGAATTCCTATTAAATGCTATTTACAAGTTCGAATACCCATAAATTATTTCTAATTTATTTCTTTAAGCATTGATTCAAAGCTGTCATTTAGCCAGTTTTGTGTTTTGATGTGAAAAGTGAGAGTGAGCGATTTTCTTGTCACTTGGTTAAAAGCCACAAAGAAATTCATTTCGTTGCCGTCAACGACATTGTGAAGGTTATTTAAGCACCCGACGAACGTTTCGTGATAGCTTCAATCATTTGTGATTGTGATTGATGTCAGTCATTAGCAAATAACTTAAGAAGCCGATGTGTCGGAAATTAGTTAAGATAGCTTAGAGCTTAGAGAGCTTAGAGCTTACGTTTTATAAATAACGAGCGGGTACAACCCGGCCTTGCCCGTGGCACGTATGTTTTAAAATCAATGTTCTCAAACAAATTTGAAATGATTTTGAAACTGATCGGACGGTAAACAAATAACTTTCATACAAACGTTTTCCGCCAATTTACCACTGTTGCGAGTGGAATTTCCCAAATCGCTGAAACACGTATTCATTACATTCTTATCCACCCGAAAAAGTTTGGATTCTGCGAAAAGTGTGAAACACGTCTCAAATGATTTTTCTTATAGATCTTTGGAAACGAATTTGAGCGCGAAACGTCACCCAACAAATCTTTGACCTCCATTTCCACCAAGGAGGAACGGATTTTCATAAAAGTGTGAAACACCCCTCAAATGAATTTGAACAAAGATTTTTGAAAATAAGTTTGAGGCCGATCGGATGGTAAACAAAAAAGTTACATACAAACGTTTTTCGCGATTTTTCCACACTTGCGGGTGGAATTTCCCGAAAACCCGTCTTAACGTGCACCTACACCACATAAAAAAGTTATCACTCTTGTCGGGAGTGCCTGACTAGGGGATACCCTGAACCCTTTTCCACCAACAGAAAATGCAGGACTCGCTGAAATGAAAGATACTGGAAAGAAGGGTTTTTTACCCATTTCAATGGGTTCAGGGCATAAAAAGTTCTTGTACTTTAGAATACGGTCAAAGAATAAATTTAATATATTTTTACCAAAAAAAACTTTTGCAGTTGTACTCTTTATCATTTTGTAAATTGTTGTAGCTTTATTCTAGAGCTTTGATTTAAGGAAAGCTTAAGCCGTGCTGAAACGTATTTTTTCAGAAAACAGTTGAAGCTTATTGGTCTAAGGAGACCAACAGCTTTAGAAGCTTTAAAAATCTTGATGTTAACAAAATAAGAAGTTTAAATAATGAGCTTTGATCTTAGCAAGCCTTCAATTCGAAGCTGTTTCGGAAGATCAAGCTGTGTATTGAATTATGATCTTTGCCCTGACGAAGTGAGTTTTGAAAGAATATTTTTGATTAAACCTACGATTTAGCACCAAAAGTATTCAATAAAAATCAGTTTGTTGATCTTTAAATAAATCGCTGGCAACTGAGATTTAAGAGTTTTGATCTTAGTTTCATTGTGAACCGTTGCGGTTGCATCAAGTCGAAGCCTTGAGCACAAAATATTGTTAACAATAAGAATACGATAAAATTGCCTTTAAATTTGCAACTGCAACTAGCCACTTGCCACTTGCAACTACTTAGGTGTAAGTTCCGCTCACTGGCCGATCGATGGGTGTGACTTGCGGCAACTGATGAAAAATGCAAAAAACAACACTTTTTGACCGAACTGTGGCATGAGGCACGCCCCTGGTTGGCAATTTGGTGCGCTTCGTTGCGCGTGAAAATTATGATTTTTGCTTTTGGGAAAATCTCATTAAGTTTAAGTCTGAAAAAGGATGCCGATGGGCGATGCCTGGCCAGCATGGACTATCGCCTAGGCCATAAATATAGGTGGAGAGAGGTGTGGAGAAGGAGAAATAGTGGGGGGGGGGGGGGGGGAGGCGTATATGCAATGTAATTTGCATGCAGCTGGTACGTCGACGTAGCCGGCATTCGAGCCAAATTGAAAAGCTCACTGACCGACGACCGCCCGCGATAACAACAACCAGAACAACAACAACAACAACAACAACAACAACAACAACCAGTGCAACAAAAACAACATTTAAACGCATGTTACGTAGTATTTTAATTAAGCGCACATTTTTATAGACATTTCTTAATGGCGCACCATAAATTTTCGGTCTACCCAGAAGTGGCATCCGAGCAGGGATCGCGGCGCTGGCGTCCGAGCAGGGATTGCATACTCAAAGCGTAACTCAGGAATCTCGTGTTCTACTCATTCTCCTTCTCTCTCTCTCTCTGTCTGTCTCACTCTCTGAGATTCCATTTAGCAGAACGCATATAAAATGCGCGGCAGGCGACGTCGCTGCTGCTCATAAATGGAAAGTGAATTTTATGCGGTGCTTTAAACAAAGTTGTGAAACTGAAACGTTTTGTATTAAAGATTGAAGCACAACGTCGAACGCTTGATAACTTCATTGCGGCTCGGCTTTTTGGTGTCTCTCCCATGCACGATCCTCGCCTGCCCTAACCCCCCTCCCGCCGCGCACGTTGCGAGCGCGCCCCACCCAACCAACGGTTGCATGAGGCAACTTTGTTGCCGCCTTATCGATGCACCGACTGATAAATGTTTGACACAGTGTGTGGCTTATTTGAGTTACAGTACGTCCTCGTTCGCGCCGCCGCCACCGCCGCCGCTGCCGACGTCCCACCACGCACCTGTTTTCCGCAGCGCTCATGAACACTCAGCGTGTCATTCACCCGACGACGACAGGCAATTGCAATTGAGCAGTAGTTGCAGCAAAAGTGTGTGAGTGTCGGCATTAATGCCGGCGTATGAATATGAGTGTGAGTAGTAGAGTATCTGTATCTGTATCTGGTAAATACGTTTTATGGCCAGCCAGGGTACAAGCCGTTTAAGCTTTGCTTCTTCACACAAACACACACATTTACACTTGTGTTCGTACAGACTCGAAAAATACTCACAACCGTTTGTTTGAATGAGCAGTATATGCTTTAGATAGTTAGTCACAGCTTGGCAAAACATCATGAATAAAAGGTAAATAATGAAATGCAGAGTAAAAACCAGAGCAAAGTGCAAATATATGAATCGATGTAATTGTATGAATAGTGAATGCATTTGCAGTCCTTATATGAATACTCAAATTATTGTTGGGCATAACTGCTATGGATATGAATTTGCTATATATTCAAAATATTTTCTATATATCCATAAAATACATCTTTCTTTCATAGATATTCAATTGACCCATTGACATTTTATTCATTATTTAATTGTTATTTATTCAAAATATTCATAGAATACATCGTATATTCTTATAACATTCACAACTAGAGATTCAATTGTATGCCACATAGGCATTCAGATGCCCGATTGAAATTTTCATCATTATTCATTTGTTAAACATTTTAAATATTCACTTTATATTTATTCATAACAAGAGTTCATTTGCATGCTACATACACATTCAATTGCAACATAGTCTCTTTAATTATTATATTCAAAACATTCATTATATATTAATGAACTATATTTTATGTATCAATAACACTCATACCGATTTATTCATTTGTATGCTATTGCAAGTATATTCAACTCCTCAAATGACATACAAATCCATTAAATACACTATTTAATTGTCATATTCAAACACTCATTTACGTAATTTATCATTATTGCCTGCACTCACTTATTCACACCCATTTATCAATTAGTCTCAAAATAATCAGCTAATCAATATTTATGTGATGTGCACATAAGCGACATTCACATACATTCAAAGTTATTCAAAAAAATTAAACAAAAACAATTGTGTTTGGCCAGCGCAAAAGTTTAGTTCAAAGTTGAGTTGCATATGTTGCATACCTCATGTGGCAAGGCGATTCGGTTCGTTTCGGCTCGCCTCGAATCGTAATGGAATGATTTATTTGCATATGCAACATCGAAATGCACTCACCAGGCCCCAAAATGAGGCGACTTTTAAGTGGCCGTCACTCGACTGTTGCCTGAGTTATACATATATTTTTTTTTCATTTATTTTTTTTTGGCTGTCTCCCTTTCTGCCCCCAAACTGTCGCCAAGTGCTCCATTTCTCAGGCGGAACACTTTGGTGTAAAGCTTATTAACGAAATTGTGTTTATTCGTTTTGTTGCTCGTTTCTTGCGCTGTTTGTCGCTGTTCTTTATTATCGAGTTTAATGGATTTTTAATGAGTCTTAAGCGAAGCTTTTGACGGCATTTATAATAAAAAAAAAATGTATTTAAAAAAGATGTGCAGTTTCATTTAATCGCTTAATCCTTTTTATAAGGGCGCTTCTGGAACTCTGCGTTTCTGTCATTTAGAAATCTCTTTCTCTATGCCGCCTTTATATAAGTACAGACTCTCTTTCTTCTGTGTTGATAATCGTCAGCGCTGTTGAATGTTGAGCATTTTCTTAGAAATGATACGTTGACTGTCAATTTGTAAACTTAGAACTGCAGAATTTGATGCAATCAAGTTGTCAGCTCATCATAGTAGGAGTTCACGACCAACATGGCATACACGATTATAACTACAAAATGGCAAAAAGAAATTGTGAATCTTAACTGAAAATTGCAGTGCTGCAAAGCTATCGATATGGAATATTATTTATATCGATAATAATGGAGCTTATTAGTGTTGCAAAACTATTCCCTTTTGAAAACTCCAATATTCGTTATATCTTAAGTCATTTGATTCGCTCAATGAAATTGCCGATAACACTATTACAATTATCGATTAAAACTTTGAAATATAATTTCAAAGACTTTCATTCGATTGCAGTCGATGGCGATAACGGGAAAATTTCGATAATTGCATGGCTTGCCAACACTGTCCAGTCGCGAGCGCTTCCGATAGATTTGCAACACTGTGCTTATCGATTACTTTGCTTACCGATTCTTATAATAGCAAGTGCACTCAGTAGAGCTGTGGCTATAGTACAAATGAGCACAATAAAATTCACTATAAGCCAGGGTCCCATGCATGCCGGGTTTTTCTAAAGTTACCCATAAAGTTGTAAATGCATTTACCGACGAACTGTCAACTTACCGACATTGCTCCAGAGATTAGCAATAGATCGCTAAAAGACATTAAGTAAAAGACAACTGCGAAACAGAAAACACACTGACGAGCGTTCATCTTGTCAAAAAACATGATTAGCCACACCGGTAACTCTTTGCGGGTCACATAATAGATGCCAAGGCATCCCATTAAAAAATCCATAATCCCGAATATGCAGCCGATGATCATCGTCCCGAATTGCAATGAAATGCAGCAACAGCATTTCAATAGGCGCATCTTGATTGTATAAAATTCTGTATTTCTTATAAAAAATGTTTAAAATTGTAAATTTTTCGATATTTTCGTTTGTACTGAATCAAAGCTGATGTATATGTCCCTAATGTGATTGTCATATATAATACGATCAAGCATAACCTATCGAGGTTCTGCTAAGCTTATCCGAAGCCTTTTCCTGAGGAGAGCATAACAGATTTTGTTTTTAACGGATTTTTTTTTTTTAGTTTTTTTTTATATTTTCTGTGACTATATTACAATGTTTTGACATATATGTCATGGTAGATGTTTTCTTGTTTATAGATTGCTTTTTTTTATTAATTTTAATTCTTTGCTTTGAGAGTAATAGTTTTCGTGTTATAATATAATATTCTTGTCTTTAATTTCCGAAGATTAGTCCCTTTATATATATAATAATATAGGAATTGGATTCATGGAAAATTTCGGCATTTATAAGTTTTGCCAATGCTCTCCAATTATGTGTAATATCTCCCTATTTCGGACTTCTATGTCATATAGCTGCCATAGGAACGATCGGTCATAAAGTAGTATCTTGTATTGCAAAATATTCTGATTTCCAAAATACTTTCATTAAACTCTGCATTTACGAGCTTCGCTTCTCTCACATATGTATCTGTATGAGTATTACATCTTCGGCGTGCCTTATATATCTCTACTTTCTCTCCTTTTTAACTAAGGATTGCGTAGGCCCCGCAATACCCAAGTTTCCAATGGTACAAAGTTCAAAGCATGAAATTCATTGTCAATCAGTTATCGAAATGAGTTCGCAGAATTGTAATTGCGCAGAAAATATTAAAAAATGGAAAATTAAGTAAAAAACTGAAAAACGCATTAAAAGACTAAAGAAAATAATTCAATTCGTATGCCGCAAAAGAATTATTTGGTTTTTATCAGTGACCAACAATCAGTTCGAGGGCCTGCGACGACCAACCTCAGAAGTAGTTTTCTGAAGTGTTAGCAGGCGGCTCAAATCCGCCCTCTGACAGTTGAGGACGCCGAAATGTTTTCTTCTTTTTTTTTTTTTGTCACATTCTTTGATCGATTATGAGCACATTATGCCTCGTCAAGCCAGAAATATTTGTTCAAAGTCCGATCCAGTTCGGTTTCTTGCATAACGCTTCTCTGGCACGGCCTGCATTGTGTGAACCACGACAAGGTCGTTGGCATTGTGCAGGGCGGTACTAGTTGACTCTAGTTGATAAGAATTTTGGCACTGCAAATTGTGCGCGTGAGTATAGTATCTTTCGAGTGCTTTTACAAGCCGCAAAATGGGTGTTTTTTTCGTCTTCTTCTTCATTTTTCGGTGAGGTGCCGGGAATGTACCTACTACAAGCAGCCACTTCATTTATCGCCAATGGAATTTTAATTGAGTTAACATGTCGTGTAAATGACAGCAGCGGCGTCTGGGCGTGCAGTTGTGATTCAGATGTTAACGCCATGCTTGGCATACTTCGCGCTGTGAGGGCAGAACCATATGCATTGAACTGGTTCACGGTTCATTGTCCCAGGCAATTGGCTAAGCCAATTGAATTTTAATTGACTGTAGGGATCAACATTCTGGCTGATTAGGATTGTTGTGAAATAGAATGATTCATTTGATTATACTGAATTTGTTCTGTTGAACTAGTTCAGTTCATTGTCTCATTCGGTTTTATTTGGGTTTGTCTAATCGAATTAGTTACTTGGTTCCGATCGGGTTAGAGTGAAAGGTTGCATTTTTTTTGTGGATTGCCTAGTAACATCTTCGAACTAGTTCATTTCGTGCTCTTATACCGCTTTGGGTCTCGTTATTAAAACGTTGCATAGGTTTAGTAAAGTAGTTCACTCCTACAGGTTCACTTAACTTATTTGTTCTCATATAATTTTGGAGTTAACTGGCTCTTTTCCGCAACGAGTTCTGATGAACAAGTTCACTTAAAACTTAATAAAATATTGCATTGAAAATTCCGCAAATCATCATTAGCAAGCAATTCATAATGGTCGGTTCAAATAAACTGGTTCAACAACATTAAACAAAGACCATTAAGTGATTAATTTATTAAATAATTCATTTGCCAAATCCCTTGTTTTCAACAAGTTCGACTCGTGCATCTTCGTCAGGCCTAGTTCAAAATAGAACAGTCAACATATTTTTTTGCATATCACGTGTGAAAAAACGATTCATTTCGGAACGCATGGAATGATATATTAGCATATGCAACATTCCCGGGGCTCATTCGCTCATACGTCTTCGTCAGGGCTTTGGGCTCTGTCGCAACCAAAAGCCCCAATAGATCTTTAAACAATGCCCAAAGCTCGACTCAAACTGACCCAAGTCGCAATACGGAGCTGATAAAGAGAGGACAGTTTGAACTCCATAAACTAGCCACTGGGCCACTCGACATAGTTAAGCTGACAACTTGGACTTGCTTTTAGGGGAATAGTTAAGGCTAACGAATGGGTTTTTAATGCCACACAACCCGAAATAGAACCGATTTCACAGTATGCTAAAATAGAAATGGTCAAACTTGGATGGTATTTCTGCTGCTCTCTTTTCTAGTTGGCGCTTGGCGGTATCTATGGGTATTAATATCTGGATTTCCCCATCAGCCCGCTAGATACTTTCTGCTGACAAGCCTCTGACAGGAAATTAACAGTTTCAATTACATTTAACTAAACGAGATAATTGAAACGCCACCCCGGTAAAAAGCCAACGACTGGCGTGTGGCACAGCTTAAAGCACTGTGGGGATTTTTTTTTATTCTTTTTTTTTATTTAACTTCTCTTTTTTTTGTTATAACTTTTTTGTGTGCGAGTGTTGCTTTTATCGCACTACACAAACATTGTTAGGTTGGTTAATCCACAATAAAACAAATTATTTGACAAGCGCGTTAATTGATTTGGTTCTCGTGAATTTCGTTTGTGCCAACAACAAGTGCAAAAGAAACAGCAAATTTGGGAGGTATTTCCCGTGTGACGAAATCAATGGAATTTAACCGGATTTCTGGAAGAAGAAATCTGTCTATTGAAGATTGTTAGGAGCATGTGTATGGTTAACTAAAGTGAAATTATTGTAGCTATATAAATAGATATTATTTCAGGTATTTGACTCTGATTTATAATATTAAATGGCCAGAAGTATTTAGTTGCATAAATACTCTTATATGAGCAGAAGAACTCTCAGTAATTCCATCATGGGATTGGCCAAGAAATAAAAAAAATCTAAAATGTCCGTACTATCGATTTTGAAATATATGTAAAAGTATACAATATACAAAGTGTTGCCTTTATTTATGATAATTAAAACCATAGAGAAGTTATTTTCGGTTTATTAAAGAAATCTATAGAGTATGAGGCATAGATACATACATTAATACAGCCCATATTTTGGTTATAAAATTGTCATCGATTTAAATAATTATTTATGTATATAAAATATATTAAAATATAATATAATGTAAATTATCGATTATTTGATCGATAACCTTAAAGATAGGATGTGTAGAGGATATTTTTTATTTATTTATATTTTTATAATTATTTCAATAAACGAAGTTTTTGATATTTCTATCGATAACAGAATAGATAAATATGCTTACCCAAAATATCTAAGAAATTAATCATTTATCGATGTATATTTAAATAATTTATAATTTTGACGCATATGATCGTTATCGATTTAAATGTTTATTTATATTTAAAAAAGCTAAGCTATCGATAGTTCTATCAATAACCTTAAAGATGGCATTCTGAATTGAATTTGTCTATACAAAATATTAATTATTAATTTATATATATTTTCAATAATGATATGCTTATTTAAAACCTCTAAAAAAATACCGATATTATCGGGCTTTACACTATATTTTTCTTTCGTTATAAGGGGCAGGGATGTCGATGACTCCGATACATTATCATCGGTTTTTTCTTTTCAATTTTTAAAAAATCCCACAATTTTGTTTATTGAGTTATTCATGTAACCCAGACAAAGCTTTTAAGGCCCCCGCCAAGGGTATTAAAAGCAGGTGGTTGGCATGCAAATTCCTAAAATATTTTCGAAGTGAGTGACGCGCTTAGTTCGATAATTTAAGTCACGGCTTTTTTGATGATAACTGATAAATGATATAGTAAATACTAAATAAAATGATGTAGTAAATACATAATTGGCAGTCACGCGTTTCTGCGGGATTCACATTAAAATACTGCGATCAAAAGTTTGTTTACGATGCAAACAAAAATATATATTTATAAGTTAGGGTCAGATATTTCGAGGATTGCAGTCATATAGAGTACCTAGAATCAGGAGCCTTGAAATCAAATAGTTTATTATACTAAAAACAATGTCAGCTATCAGCGTTCTATTATTTTTTATACTTTCATAATGCTAATGCAAACATAAGAAAATATGTACTTCGTAATAGAATTTGTGAGCCTTTAGGGTCTTTAAGCGGATGTTACCACACATCAGGTCGATCCAGCGGGCCACGAGCCGCCAGCTAGAAGATAACACAAAATGCGTTTTGCAATGTGTGTACGAGTGTGTGTGTGTGTGAGTACGTGTGTGTGTCTGGGGGGCATTTTATATGGGTATAAGACCGACCGTAGACCTATTTTCTGTTTGTTTAAGACCAGTTAACGTCGCCGTCGCCGTCGGCATTCGCGTTGCATGTTACAGGAAATAAACAATAAGTAATTATGCATTCGCATTGTTGCCAGCTCAAATAATCGCCCACCGGCAAGGTGATGTTTATAACGGTTCCTCGCTCCCCAAAACATGCCAAGTCTGGATACGCACACATATATCTTGTGGCTTGGCTGCAACAGAAAACATCATCATAAACAGCCGGTTCTGACTTGTCAACAAACTGTTCACAAAAAGCAAAATAAGAAGACATGAAAGAACTACACGTCGAAGATTGAATACCCTCGCGAATATATAACACGATATTGAAGATATTTGGGAGGCAAAAAGAAGCTTGCAAATTTTGAGTCTGGCCAAGATATCTTGGAGAACTAGAGAATTCTTCATAGAAAACACAATTTGTTGACTGATTCTGTCTATAATATAGTAGTACAATGTTGATAGGATTTTATAGATTTTATTTATAGATAAAAAATGTAGGAAATGACGATAAACGTAGAAACAGGCAGAAGAAGAGTTGATACTGATCAAAAATAATATATACTTTAACGGATCGGAAATGTCCTATTTCATGACAAAGTATAAAAACCCTATATTAGGGAATAAGCAGAAA